AAAATTATGTGCAAAGTAGTAAACGGCTGGCAAAATTGAAATGGGAAAGTAGTAGACGGCTGAAAAAACAAAATCAAACAAGATCATAGGAAAGTAGTAAACGGCTGGTAAAACATAAATGGGATAGTAGTAAATGGCTGGAAAAACAGAATCAAACAAAATCCTGGGAAAGTAGTAAACGACGGGAAAAACATAGATGGGAAACTAGTAAATGGTTGAAAAAATAGAACCAAATAAAATCATGGGAAAGTAGTAAATGTCTGAAAATCAGAATTGGAAAAATAATAAACGGTTGGAAAAACATAATCAAACAAAATCAAGGAAAAGTAGTAAATGGCGGGAAAAACATAGATGGGAAAGTAGTAAAAGGTTGGAAAAATAGATTCAAAGAAAATCATGGGAAAGTAGTAAATGGCTGAAAAACAGAAATGGAAAAATAATAAACAGCTGGAAAAACATAATAAAAAAAAATCATCGGAAAGTAGTAAACCGTTGTAAAACAGAAATGGAAAAGTAGTAAAAGGCTAGAAAAACAAAATCAAACAAAATTATGGGGAAAGTATTAAACGGATGGAAAAACATAAATCGGAAAGTAGTAAACAGTTGGAAAAACAGAATCAAACAAAATCATGGGTAAGTAGTAAACGACTGGAAAAACATAAATGGGAAAGTAGTAAATGGCTAGAAAAACAAAATCAAACAATGTCATGGGAAAGTAGTAAACGGCAGGAAAAACATAAATGGGAAAGTAGTAAACGGTTGGAAAAATAGAATCAAACAAAACCATGGGAAAGTAGTAAATGGCTGAAAAACAGAAATGGAAAAATAATAAACGGCTGGAAAAACATAATCAAACAAAATCATAGAAAAGCAGTAAACGGCGGGAAAAACATGGATGGGCAAGTAGTAAAAGGATGGAAAAATAGAATCTAACAAAATCATAGGAAAGTAGTAAATGGCTGAAAAACAGAAATGGAAAAATAATAAACCGCTGGAAAAACGTAATCAAACAAAATCATGGCAAAGTAGTAAACGGTTGGAAAAATATAAATGAGAAAGTAAAAAACGGCTGGAAAAACATAATCCAACAAAATAATGGGAAAGTACTAAATGGCTGGAAAAACATAAATGACAAAGTAGTAAACGGCCGGAAAAATAGAATCAAACAAATTTATGGGAAAGTAGTAAATAGCTAAAAAACAGAAATGAAAAAATAATAAACGGCTGGAAAAACATAATCAGACAAAATCATCGGAAAGTAGTAAACAGCGGGAAAAACATAGATAGGGAAGTAGTAAAAGGTTGGAAAATATATAATCAAACAAAATCCTGGGAAAGTAGTAAATGGCTGAAAAACAGAAATGGAAAAATAATAAACGGATGGAAAAACATAATCAAACAAAATCATGGGCAAGTAGTAAACGGTTAGAAAAACAAAAATGGGAAAGTAATAAACGGTTGGAAAAACGTAATCAAAGAAAATAATGGGAAAGTAGTAAATGCCTGGAAAAACATAAATGAGAAAGTAGTAAACGGCTTGAAAAATATAATGAAACATAATCGTGGGAAAGTAGTAAACCTCTGAAAAACAAAAATGAAAAAGTAGTAAACGGCTAGAAAAACAGAATCAAACAAAATTATGGGGAAAGTTGTAAACGGCTGGGAAAACATAAATGGGAAAGTAGTAAACGGTTTGAAAAACCAAATCAAATAAAATCATTCGAAAGTAGTATACGGCTGGAAAAACATAAATCAGGAAGTAGAAAATGGCTGGAAAAACAGAATCAAAAAAATCTTAGGAAAGTAGTCAACGGTGGGAAAAAAATAGATGGGAAAGTAGTAAACAGTTAGAAAAATAATATCAAACAAAATCATGGGAAAGTAGTAAATGGCTGAAAAACAGAAATGGAAAAATAATAACCGGCTTGAAAAACATAATCAAACAAAATCATGGGAAAGTTGTAAATGGCAGGATAAACATAAATGGGAAAGTAGTAAACGGTTGGAAAAATAGAATCAAATTAAATCGTAAGAAAGTAGCAAATGGTTGAAAAACATAAATGGAAAAATAATAAATGGCTGGAAAGACATAATCAAACAAAATTATAGAAAAGTAGCAAACGGTTGGAAAAACATAAATGGGAAAGTAATAAACGGCTGGAAAAACAGAATCAAACAAAATAATGGAAGAATAGTAAATGCCTCGAAAAACATAAATGAGAAAGTAGTAAACGGCTGGAAAAATATAATCAAATAAAATCGTGGGAAAGTTGTAAACCGCTGAAAAACAAAAATGAAAAAGTAGTAAACGGCTAGAAAAATCGAATCAAACAAAATTATAGGGAAAGTTGTAAACGGCTGGGAAAACATAAATGGGAAAGTAGTAAACGGTTGGAAAAACAAAATCAAACAAAATCATGGGAAAGTAGTAAACGGCTGGAAAAACATAAATGGGAAAGTAGTATATGGCTGGAAAAACATAATCAAACCAAATCATGGGAAAGTAGTCAATGGCGGGAAAAAAAAGATGGGAAAGTAGTAAACGATTGGAAAAATAAAATCAAATACAATCTTGGGAAAGTAGTAAATTGCAGAAAAACATAAATGGAAAAATAATGAACGGCTTGAAAAACATAATCCAACAAAATCATGGGAAAGTAGTAAATGGCAGGAATAACATAGATGGAAAAGTAGTAAACGGTCTGAAAAATATAATCAAACAAAATCAAGGGAAATTACTAAATGGTTGAAAAACATAAATGGAAAAATAATAAACGGCTAGAAAGACATAATCAAACAAAATCATGGGAAAGTAGTAAACGATTGGAAAAACATAATTGAGAAAGTAAATTACGACTGGAAAAACAGAATCAAACAACAGAATGGGAAAGTAGTAAATGGCTGGAAAAGAACAAATGAGAAAGTAATAAACGACCGGAAAAATATAATCAAACAAAATCATGGAAAAGTAGTAAACCGCTGAAAAACATAAATGGAAAAATAGTAAACGACTTGAAAAATAGAATCAAACAAAATTATGGGGAAAGTAGTAAACGAATGGGTAAATATAAATGGGAAAGTAGTAAAGGTTGGAAAAACAGAATCAAACAAAATCATGGGAAAGTAGTAAACGGCTGGAAAAACATAAACGGGAAAGTAATAAACGGTTGGAAAAACATAACCAAAAAAATAATGGGAAAGTAGTAAATGACTGGAAAAATATAAATGAGAAAGTAGTAAACGGCTGGAAAAACAGAATCAAACAAAATAATGGGAAAGTAGTAAACGGCTGGAAAAACATAAATGGGATAGTAATAAATGGCTAGAAAAACAGAATCAAACAAAATCATGGGAACATAGTAAACAGCGGGAAAAACATAAATTGGAAAGTACTAAACGACTGGAAAAATAGAATCAAACAAAATAATGGGCAAGTTGTACATGGCCGAAAATCAGAAATGGAAAAATAATAAACGGTTGGAAAAACATAATAATACAAAATCATTGGAAAGTAGTAAACGGCGGGAAAAACATAGATAGGAAAGTAGTAAAAGGTGGGAAAAATTGAATCAAACAAAATCATGCGAAAGTAGTAAATGGCTGAAAAACAGAAATGGAAAAATAATAAACGGCTGGAAAAACATAATCAAAGTAAATCATGAAAAAGTAGTAAACGGTAGGAAAAACATAAATGGGAAAGTAATAAACGGCTGGAAAAACAGAATCAAACAAAATAATGGGAAAGTAGTAAATGGCTGGAAAAACATAAATGAGAAAGTAGCAAATGGCTGGAAAACATAATCAAACAAATCCTGGGAAAGCAGTAAACCGCTGAAAAACAGAAATGGAAAAGTAGTAAATGGCTAGAAAAGCAGAATCAAACAAAATTATGGAGAATGTAGTACCCGGTGGGAAAATATAAATGGGAAAGTAATAAATGGTTGAAAAAACAGAATCAAACAAAATTATGGAAATGTAGTAAACAGCTGGAAAAACATAAATAGGAAAGTTGTAAATGGCTGAAAAAACAAAATCAAACAAAATCATAGGAAAGCAGTAAACAGCGGGAAAAAAATAGATGGGAAAGTTGTAAACGGTTGGAAAAATAGAATCAAACAAAATCTTGGGAAAGTAGTAAATGGCTGAAAAAAAGAAATGGAAAAAAGATAAACGCCTGGAAAAACATAATCAAACAAAATCATGGGAAAGTAGTAAACGGTTGGAGAAACATAAATGGGAAATTAATAAATGGCTAGAAAAATAGAATCAAACAAAATAATAAGAAAGTAGTAAATGGCTGGAAAAACATAAATGAGAAAGTAGTAAACGGCTTGAAAAACTTAATCAAACAAAATCATGGGAAAGTAGTAAACCGCTGAAAAACAGAAATGGAAAATAGTGAACGGCTAGAAAAACAGAATCAAACAAAATTATGGGGAAAGTAGTAAATGGCTGGGAAAACAGAATCAAGTAAATGGTTGGAAAAGTAGAATCAAACAAGATTATGAGAAAGTAGTAAACAGTTGGAAAAACATAAATGGGAAAGTAGTAAATGGCTGGGAAAACAGAATCAAGTAAAATCATAGAAAAGAAGTAAACGACGGGAAAAACATAGATGTTGGTGTTTCATCTGTTGCTGTAATTTAAGATCATTGTATAAAGCAAGAGCTTCATCAGTTATTAATCCTACAATTTGACCGTAGGTATACCTACTGTATGGAATAGCCAATTGGTTATGACGATCTCTTAACTTCTTTCTAACTCTTTCTGCAAAAAGAGTAGGAAGACTATCAATAAATGTGGCTTTCTAATGATCTAAATTAGCATCAGCTCGACGATGTACTTTCATCAGGAATACATCCTTATACCATCTAAAATGGGATAAAGATGGACACCTTAATTTCTGTAATAGTTCTCTACTTCGATCTTCAATACCGGTCTCGGCACCAATGAAATGGAGAACTATAGTGTTTACCAAAGTGTAAATAGCATCTTGCTAAAAATCAAACTCGATATCAGTTCTTCACCGCTGCGAATCACTCCTACCCATTGCGGAAGATATCAACCTTGTCAACAGGATTATCAATGCCATTGCAAGTAATGCATGTAAAGAGCAACTCACATCTGGCTTGTCCAAGCTAGAGCACAACTTTCCTTCAAAACCCGAAACAGAAACACCCTCAGACTGGTGGGGAAAATCACTCACCGTGCTTAATCTTGACTTCTTCCAGCGCGTTCTATATGCAGTAAAAAGTAAGGGTCTGAAACAGGATATAATCATCAGGATTTTGATAAATTATGCCCACAATTCTCTTCAGGGACTTGTTGCGGTTAGGGATCCACAATTGGTTAACGGGGGTTTCTTGGACATGGAATTGCAGAAGAAAAAAAGAGCCATCATCGAAGCTATAATCGGTTTATTGCCAACACAGTCAAGAAAGAGTGCTGTTCCCATGGCATTTCTTTCTAGATTGTTGAAGTTTGCAATAGCGGCATCAGCATCTACTCCATACAGATCTGATTTAGAGAGGTGGATTGGTTTGCAATTGGATCAAGTAATTCTTGAGGACCTACTCATTCCTGCAAATTATCATGGAAACAATCACAGCCCAATGTATGATACAGATTCAATCCTAAGGATTTTCTCCATTTTCTTGAACTTGGATGAGGATGATGATGAGGATAATCACTTGAGGGATGAAAGTGAAATGGTATACAACTTTGACAGCCCTGGATCTCCTAAGCAGAGCTCAATCCTGAATGCGTCGAAACTGTTGGACAATTGTCTTGCAGAAGTTGCACTCGATTCAAACTTGACGCCATCAAAGTTCGCAGCATTGGCAAAATTACTCCCAGACCATGCCCGTATAGTGAATGATGGATTATACAGAGCTGTGGATATCTTTCTCAAGGTGAGCAACCATTTCTCTCTGACAGATAGAGCTGTAAATGCCAAAACTTGGCTTGTTTGCAGCCTTACCCACAGATGGAAAGACCCATATCATTTCTATATTTTTGTGTCTGGATTTGTCAAGGCTTTAAACACTATTGTGTTTTGTGTGTGCTTCCACTGACAGGTTCATCCGAACATGAAGGACTCAGAGCATTATAGACTTTGCAAAACCATCGATTGCCAAAAACTATCTCAAGAAGCTTGCAGTCATGCAGCACAGAATGAAAGGCTGCCAGTGCAAATGGCAGTCCAAGTGTTATACTTTGAGCAAATTAGGCTTCGAAACGCAATGAATGGCGGTCACAATCAGTTGTTCTTTGGCTCTGTCAATGGCCAATTCCCTCAACGTTCAGGTAGCGGAGCAGGAAGTGGATGCATCTCACCAAGAGACAACTACGCGTCGGTGAGAAGAGAGAACAGGGAACTCAAGCTGGAAGTTGCAAGAATGAGGATGAGACTGACTAACTTGGAAAAAGACCATGTTTCGATGAAACAGGAGCTTCGTGTGAAATCACATCCTGCTAACAAGTTATTCAAGTCATTTACGAAGAAGTTACGCAAGTTAAATGCCCTGTTTGGGATTAAAGATATGAAGCCGATAGGTGGTAAGGCTAATTCAGAAACTTGGATTTTGTTTCAGAAGCGAAGGCGTCATTCTGTATCATGATTCATGATCAAACATGTGCGTACAAGAAAGAAAACACTTTTAATGTTATTGCGAATTATGCAGTGTTGTGTTCAGTGAGATTTATTCTCTGCACTTTTTCTCCCGTTTTATCTAATGGAGTCTTTGAAAGAAAGCACTCAAATCAAACTTCGTAATTTGTATTCTAAAGGTTAGAAATTTGATTAATGGCAACACTTGGGAGGAAGATGTTGCAAGAACCATTGATCGACCAAGTGAGGCATTGATTGACCCGAAGCATTGGCCGAGCTTGGTATTGATTGACCGTTTTAGACATAATCGCACATTGCCAATCTAATCCACCCAAATTTGGTTAATATGCAAGGGCCTCTTTACTCTCATTGTCAATTGATTTTGAGTTGGATGCTTTAACATGGTATTAGAGTTAGATCTTAAGTTGTCTATGTAAATATTTATCCACTCAATCAATAGGACTAATTGGTAATTAACCTTAAAAAAATATCTATATTTTTATTAGAGCATCTTTGATCCTTATTCCCTTTTTCATCATATATGAGTGAAATTTTTGTTAAAACTTTGATTTTTTGACTTGGCGAATACTCTAATTCTTACTCTCCCTTATATTTTGTCATTTTATTTGTAATTTATTGTCAATTTTTTGGAGAATTATCAAACTTATTTTAAAAAACCTGTTTTAATTATTTTTGATGAAAGAAAATCGCTACTAATCCTTCCGCTTTTTAAATTTTTATCAAATTAAAGATGACTGTTTAAAATTTGGTGAAATTTTTCACTTCTCTCTTGATTTGATACAAGTTTTCATGAAAAGATTGGAGTTCACTTTTAACTTTTTATTTATCAAATTTGAATTGGATGAAGAATTGGTAAGTTTAAACATCGATTGTTATTTACTTGTATGATGTGACATTTATAAAATATAAGTTTATAAGAAGTGTTTGTAAGAGGGAGAATATTTAAGCATTCTTTTCCTTTTTTTCTTTTTTTTCAATTAAGCATTTAGGTCATGCTTGATTGACAAGACTAATAGTGAAGTATTAATAGTCCTGTCAAAATTAGTGTATTATTCGCTATCCTATTGGATTAATAGGATAAATTATCCATTGGATTAATAATCACACCCCTACTTCATTACTAATAATCCTAAATATTTGTTGGATTAATTATCCATTGGATTAATAATCCTAAACTAAAATTTTAAAACAAACACAGGATAATTGGGCTTACGGATTAATAATCTCAATCCCATGCTCTAACCCATCCAATCAAACATGCCCTTAGCGTATTGACGTGCACAGTTGTTTTTGGTTAGAAATATTAATGGAGTAATGTACAATGATTATAGTGTATTGATAAGTAAGATATTAAAACATAATAAGGTATAGAAATGTGATGAGTGTAATATTATTAGATAACTGTTCGAACTGAGCGACTTGAAGGCTATACTTGATCGTACTAGTGGAGTATTGGATAAGGCACTTGCTCGGATTGTCTTGTCTGAAAAAGAAAAATTAAAATGAGAAGTTTTTTAAATGGAAAATATTTGGGAGCTCTAGAAAAGGAGCTCCAATAGTTCTAATGTGTGTGTGAACCCATTTGATATAATGTTTTGGCCTATGCTTTTTTTTCTTTTTCTTTTTTTGATTTTCCACATCACTAGAGCTCAATTAGATTTCTAGTTTTAGAGGGATAAATCACCACTGTTTTTAAATATAGATGTGCTTTGTTAACTTGAATTTTTTTTGACCAATGATTCTTGTTGACATCTTTTAAGCCAAAAAACTGAATTGACCAATGAAGTATGACATTTCTAAAAGAGTGGCGTGTTTGTGTTGGACATCGACACTTGTCAGACATTTTCCTGACACGTGTTCGATACTAATCCAAGCGCATCCTAATTTTTAAAAAATAATTTATACACGGATACTTTTTAGATACTTTGAGGACACATGTGTCCATTGATTAGATACACATAAAATTAATTATAGGTTTGAACAAAATAACTTAGAATACAATGGTAAAAGAAAAATAATATCAGTTTATAGAAATTAGTATTGTATTGTATTTATTTGGGGCAAATTACACAAATAGTCCATATAGTTTGGGGCTTGTGTTACTTTGGTCCCTGACTTTTCAATTGTGACGCATTTGAACCTAAATTTTGAATCTTGTTTCAAATAAGGACAATTGAATATATAATTAGATTTTTCAAGGGTAAAATTGTCAATTTGAAAAAATATAAACTAATTTGACAAAAATAAATGTCAAACAAATATTTTGAATTTTTAAAAATTATTTCTACCTACTAAAAATAAAATTATGTAAAATTGATAAATCTTTTAGACATTTATTTTTTTTTACCAAATTAATTTTTATCATGTGTTTCGATGATGGTCATGTAAAATTAATTTTAAAAAATTAATCATGTAATTTTTATTAATTTTACATAATTTTATCATTGGTGGATAAAAATAATTTTTAAAAGATTAAAAATATTTTTTTGACATTTATTTTTGTCAAATTAGTTTATATTTTATCAAATTGACGATTTTACCGTTGAAAAATCTAATGATATTTTCAATTGTCCTTATTTGGAACAAGATTCAAAATTCATGATCAAATGTGTCACAATTGAAATGTCAGGGACCAAAGTGACACAAGTCCTAAACTATATGGACTATTAGTGTAATTAACCCATTTATTTATTATCTTAGAATGATATATTCATATATATGACATATAATAAATATATAAAATTATATATTTTGTGCTTGTCCCTCACGTGTCGTGTCTTATATATTTTGAGAATTATCTTATCAATGTATCCGTATCATATTCATATTGTGTTAATCAAACAAAATTATGGGCATGTAGTAAATGGTTGGAAAAACATAAATGGAAAAGTAACAAACGGTTGAAAAAACATAATTAAACAAAATAATGGGAAAGTAGTAAATGGCTAGAAAAACATAAATGAGAAAGTAGTAAACGGCTGGAAAAACATAATCAAACAAAATCATGGGAAAGTAGTAAACCGCTGAAAAACAGAATTGGAAAAGAAGTAATCAGCTAGAAAAACATAATCAAACAAAATTATGGGGAAAGTAGTAAACGGTTTGGAAAACATAAATGGGAAAGTAGTAAACGGTTGGAAAAACAAAATCAAACAAAATCATGGGAAAGTAGTAAATTGTTGGAAAAACATAAATGGGAAAGTAGTAAATGGCTGGAAAAATAGAATCAAACAAAATCACGGGAAAGTAGTGAACGGCGGCAAAAGCATTGATGGAAAAGTAGAAAACCGTTGGAAAAATAGAATAAAACAAAATCATGGGAAAGCAGTAAATGGCTGAAAAACAGAAATCGAAAAATAAAGAACGGCTGGAAAAACATAATCAAACAAAATAATGGGAAAGTAGTAAACGACGGGGAAAACATAGATGAGAAAGTAGTAAAAGGTTGGAAAAATAGAATCAAACAAAATCATGGAAAAGTAGTAAATGGCGGAAAAATCGAAATGGAAAAATAATAAACTGCTAGAAAAACATAATCAAACAAAATCATGGAAAGTAGTAAACGGTTGGAAAAACATAAATGGAAAAGTAATAAACGGCTGGAAAAACAGAATCAAACAAAATCACGGGAAAGTAGTAAACAGCGGCAAAAACATTGATGGAAAAGTAGAAAACCATGGGAAAAATAGAATAAAACAAAATCATGGGAAAGTAGTAAATGGCTGAAAAACAGAAATAGAAAAATACCGAACGGCTGGAAAAACATAATCAAACAAAATCATGAAAAGTAGTAAACGGTTGGAAAAACATAAATGGGAAAGTAATAAATGGCTGGAAAAACAGAATCAAACAAAATAATGGTAAAATATTAAATGGCTGGAAAAACATAAATGAGAAAGTAGTAAACGGCTAGAAAAACATAATCAAACAAAATCATTGGAAAGTAGTAAACCGCTGAAAAACAGAAATGGAAAAGTAGTAAACGGATAGAAAAATAGAATCAAACAAAATTATGTGGAAAGTAGTAAACGGCTAGGAAAACATAATGGAAAAGTAATAAACGGTTGGAAAAACAGAATCAAACAAAATCATAGTAAAGTAGTAAATGGCTGAAAAATAGAAATGAAAAAATAATAAACGGCTGGAAAAATATAATGAAACAAAATCATGAGAAAGAACTAAATGGTTGGAAAAACATAGATGAGAAAGTAATAAAGAGCTAGAAAAATAGAATAAAAAAAATAACGAGAAAGTAGTAAATGGCTGGAAAAACATAAATGAGAAAGTAGTATACAGCTGGAAAAACATAATCAAAGAAAATCATGGGAAAGTAGTAAACAGCTGGAAAAACATAAATGGGAAAGTAGTAAATGGCTGGAGAAATAGAATCAAACAAAATCGTGAGAAAGTAGTAAACGGCGGGAAAAATATAGATGGAAAGTAGTAAACGGTTGGAAAAATAGAATCAAACAAAATCATGAGAAAGTAGTAAATGGATGAAAAACAGAAATGGAAAAATAATAAACGGCTGGAAAAACATAATCAAAGAAAATCATGGGAAAGTAATAAACTGCGGGAAAAACATAGATGAGAATGTAGTAAAAGGTTTGAAAAATAGAATCAAACCAAATCATGCGAAAGTAGTAAAAGGCTGAAAAACAGAAATGGAAAAATAATATGCGTCTGGAAAAACATAATCAAACAAAATCATGGGAAAGTAATAAACGGTTGGAAAAACATAAATAGTAAAGTAATAAATGGCTGGAAAAACAAAATAAAACAAAATAATGGGAAAGTAGTAAACGGCTGGAAAAGCATAATCAAACAAAATCATGAGAAAGTGGTAAAGCGCTGACAAACAGAAATGGAAAAGTAGTAAAGGGCTAGAAAAACAGAATCAAACAAAATTATGGGTAAAGTAGTAAACGGCTGGGAAAACATAAATTGGAAAGTAGTAAACGGTTGGAAAAACATAATGAAAAAAAATCATGGGACCGTAGTAAACGGCTGGAAAAACATAAATGGGAAAGTAGTAAATGGTTGGAAAAACAGAATCAAACAAAATCGTGAGAAAGTTGTAAACGGCGGGAAAAACATAGATGGGAAAGTAGTGAACAGTTGCAAAAATAGAATCAAACAAAATCATGGGAAAGTAGTAAATGGCTGAAAAACAGAATTGGAAAAATAAT